AAACCACTGATATTGATGCAATCTGGAACCCATTCATTGATAAATGTAATTCATAATCCTCAATCCGATTTCAGCCACCACCCTTTTCTACTTCTTTAACCAGTTGAGCCCCGAGCCTGTTTTCCAGGTCTCAGGCTCGAAAATGACATTCCCAGAACAAATGACCATAACTTCACTTCTAAAAAGGGGTAAATGAATAATCTTTTTTCTCAAAGCAATTATAAACCTGTGAGTTGGATGTAGAAAAGTCAGAATCAATATAGATTTTTTTTATTTTAAAGTAAATTCAGATTGAACATAGTAAATAAATGTAAATTATAGTGTCCGTCCAAACAAAAAAAACATTACTTATAGTGAAAACCACCCTTGAATGATGGGATCGGAGACTAAAAGCTTTAGGAATCCAAACTATAACATAATAAGTACCCTGTATCAAGATTGATGCAAAACAAGTGAAATTTGACTTTTTAGAGAGATTTAGCACAAAAAAAACCCACTTCTGGGGTCATTTGGGTGGATTTGCCATATCTCTGGCCCCCCTCGTTCAATTTTCATGATTGACATCTCTTTTTAACTGTTAGAGCCAATAGAATCGAGGGGAAGTTCCACATACACACACACGTTACCAAATAAGGAGTGAGAGTGATGCGTAGCAAGAATACCCAAAACAGGAAGCTGTCATACACTCTGGTAGCTATCATTAGCAGCTAATATGAAAACTCCGTTTTTGACATAAAAATGGAATGATGGATTATCAGTAATTTTTTCAAAGTGACACAGACACATTGGATGAACCTATGGATTAACCTTCAGCCGCGTTTTTCTCGTTTTAATGCCATTGAACACAACCTTTGATCAGAAAACAGCAACTGTAAGACGTTTCTCCCGTTTTTGCTCCATAAAGCTCCATGTTGTGATGTCTGTATTTGCTTCCCACGTCGCGAGTTCTGATCGCTCAGTGATGATACTAATACCCCTAGAATCTGTGGAATCTCATCTTGCTAGCAAAGCTTGTTTGTGCAGATTCGATAAGTAATAAAGTATTTATACCTAGAGTTCTGTGCTAATTGCGTTAGCATTTTTTCGCTCCTTGTGAGACTTGTGTTTTGGTAAAAATTGTTCGTATCGTCAGTTAGCTGAGTTTCTTCCCGTTAAGTAGGTATGACACATTAATAGTTTATTAAATGTTAAGAAGCCCTGAGACACAGTTTTCGTAAAATAAAAAGCCTGGGCTATGGGGCTTCATGGGGCTTCACAGGACACACACACACACACACACACACACACACACACACACACACACACACACACACACACACACACACACACACACACACACACACACACACACACACACACACACACACACACACACACACACACACACACACACACACACACACACACACACACACACACACACACACACACACACACACACACACACACACACACACCACACACGGTTCGGCAAAAGGTAGGACCCAAATGCAGATTAAAAGGGAAGCGGGTTTCAAAACAAAAGCGAGCTTTAATAAAAAAAAAGCTGATGAACATAAATAACATGGCATGAAACACATAGGTAACACGAGGGAGATACAATACCAAAACGATCGTGACCAACATGGAGGGAGACAGGAAAAACAATGAACCGACAAGGCACACAGGGGAAGACAAGACTAAATACAAAGAGGGGTAATCACAGGACAAGACACAGCTGGGTAAGGGAGGCAGAAACACAAAGGCAACAGGTGAACACAATCAGACAATCAGACACAGGAGGAAAAACACAGGAAGGAAGACAAGAGACAGGGAGAACAGAACAGCTAAATAAAACCCACCACAAGACAGACACAACCAACATTGTGAGCAAGTTGCTAGCAAAGGGTATTTCTAGCTAATATCATTACTATAGCTGGCAGCTCGGTATATAAATATTTTTATTTTTTTCATTGCCATATCTACACTGTAGCTGCTGTGTCTATGACAATAAAGCCTTTGAATCTTTGAGACTTTAATAAGCATTACATCTTAAAGGTGGGGTAGGTAATTCACTTCAGAAACACTTTTTGTTATATTCCATGGAATGCTCTTAACATCCCGATAGCAATGAATATATTAAATGCTTTGACAATAAATACATTAAGAAAAATCATCTGGCACTGTAAAAAGCACGACCAATCATCTGAGCCCTACCTTTAATTTTATAAACACAGCTGACAGTCGCGGTGAAACTCCAGCAATTAGAGCGAATTATACGCCAGATTACCGTACACTATAGTGGACAGCATGCCATGCCAGACTTCCCACTAACAGACATTTACAGTACAGGCAAATAAAGAGATAACAGATGTTTTCAGTGAAACACCATGACAACGGAAAACTCAAATATTGTCCAAAAATGTGAAAAATAATTTGATCAAAAAGTATAACAAATGTGCTGTTTTGTTAAAAAATTCTACAGATTTAGTGATTAATAAAAATATGATCTGATTTAAAGGGGACCTATCATGCAAAATGCACTTTTGTACGTCTTTTATACATGAATATGTGTCCCCGTTGTTCCAGGGAACTCACCAAGTGTCAGAAAACACAACCCTCTCTATTTTCCTCCATACCCAAATCTCTAAAAAAAAAAGGGGCTGCAACGGATCTGATAAAAACTGATCCAGATTTGAACACTGTCCTGACGTCAGGACGCTGGAGACGCTGTAGTACATATGCCAGGCCTGTAGATGGTGCTGTTCTCACTGAATCTGCCCTTGCTAAAACAGGGATAAAAAAATTCAAATTGAGCAAAATGAGGCATGGCTAAAATGCATGATCTGTTTGGTATTTTGAAAAAAAAAAAGTATAAATATGCCGTATATAGGTATGGTCCTACACTATATTATTCAAATATAGCATGATAGGTCCACTTTAATAAAAAAACGAGTTGATGTTCTTTTTTAAACTAATAAAAAATAATAATATTATCTATTATATGATTATAATAAATAAATAATATTGTATGTTTAAATATATCTGTGTTTCCTAACATGGTAAATCATTGTTAATAATTATTGTGAAGAATAATTAACATTAACATGTGATCAGACAGTCCTTCACATACAGTAAATGAATATGTATTATGATTATTATTAATAATAATATTATCATTAAAGGTAGGGTAGGTAAGTTTGAGAAACCGGCTCGAGATCGCTAGAATTTGAAAATACACAACCGGAGAAAATCTGCCACTTCCTTTTGGAGCCCCTCCTCCAACACACACGAACGTGCACATGACCAATGAGGGCACGAGATAAGTTTGTGCACAGATGGAAGGCTGACAGGCAGGTAGGCCATCCAGTTATTTTAGCCGGGCCGGCTAAAATGATAGGTCGTACTTTTTACAGTACTACTGCTTCCACAGATGACATTTTTTTATGGATTTTTTGTCAAAGCACTTAAGATATTCATTGCTATCGGGATGTTAAGAGCATTCCATGGAATATAACAAAAAGTGTATCTCGAGCCGATTTCTCAAACTTACCTACCCTACCTTTAAAGATGAATCGTGCAATTATGTTATTCAGGAAGTTTGTATCAAACAAGTAGCCCTTCGTATTACTCAGTACCCTTGAAGTATAGCTCTCAGTTACAAAAAGGTTGGTGACCCCTGATCTATACTGTCAATGTTGTATTGAAAAGAAAACACCCCACGTTCTTGAGTGTTGTGTACTGTTGTTGTTTTGTTAAGGAAAAAATAAAAGATGGACCACTCTATAAAAGTATTTAACTAATATGTTTATATGTACACTGAAGTTGTGTGGTGTCTTGTCAATTGTGTTAGTTGTGTTTGTTTTATGTCTGTCATTTCATGTTTAGTCAGGTATTTATGTCATTCCAAGTCTAGTCAGGTTTCTATGTAGAGTCAGGTTTTCATGTTACTTCACGTCTTGTCTGTCTATTTATGTCTGTCATCTCTAGTCAAGTCCCAATGTTTCATGTCATGTCTCGTTTTCCCATTTCCTGTTTTATTTTGTACTTACCTCTTGTCTTTCTTTTCAGGCCCTGTTCATACTTGCCAACCCTCCCGATTTTCGCGGGAGACTCCCGATTTCATTGCCCTCTCCCGGTTTCCTCCCGGGGTCATATTTCTCCCGCATTTCTCCCGATTTCTGACAAAATCAGATTTACTCAGGACTGTTTCCACTCGGACTTTAATACAGCTACACCATTGACCATTGTTTGGTTTCCATGGTAGCGTAGCGCGCGCAACTGAAAGTCTGAGAGGGTGAGGAAGATAGTCACAGCAAACAGAACAAGAATCGACAATTCTACCCTCTGCTCACTCCTTTCCTGTAAAATACAGGTCCAGCCCACACAGATGGTGCTACAGGCCGCAAGGCAGTGCACTTACAACTACAATAAGCATGTTAATGTTAATCTAATACAGCTCCGGCGATCCACTAGCACCCCGCCCCCCCCCCCGCGGTGGTTTTGGAAATGCTCCCGATTTCTGAGGTCTCAAGGTTGGCAAGTATGGCCCTGTTACTCCCTTTGTGTGTTTTCCCGCCATCGTCAGCATCTGCCCCGACCCTGATTGTTTCCACCTGTTCCCACTTCCCTCATGTTTAAGGCCTAGGCTCCACGGGCCCTTTAAGCTCGACGACGCCGTAACGGAAACGTTGAAACAGACCCTGCAAACGACAACGGGTCCAACCAAAGGTGGATAGATCTGGGAACGGAGCGCTCTGGGGGGTCCAACGGGGCCGTGTGGTCGCCTATACGGTCATCCGTTTCTGATAATGACGACTCAATAGCCCCGCCTCTCCCCACCTCTCCGCGTACCCCGCATCATTGCTCATGTGTTTCGTTAACAACAACAATGGCGGATCGCAGGGTTGGTTGCTATCGTGCTTCAGACGCTACTGACCATGCTACAGTTCTTTGTGCAACATCTACAGGAGCTCATCCATCAGCAACAACAGGACATGGAGAACATGACCTACATGTTGCTAAGAGTACCGCGGGGAATAACCCGAAGGGCAACCAGGAGAAGGTTTTGGGTAAGACCGGGCAGAAGCAGCAGTTGGTGGGACAATTTTGTCAATGGCGTTGTCGTGGATGAGGAATGGAGGGAGAACTTCCGCATGTCCAGAGCCTCTGTCGTCGCCCTGACCGAAGAACTGTGCCCATATATCGAAAGGCAAACAACAAACATGAGGGCACCAATTGATCCACTGAAAAGGGTTGCGTTAATACTGTATTACCTGAGCGATGGGGGAAGGATGCGGAAGACTGCTAACGCCTTCGGTGTTTCGCGCCAGACTTTGTCCTACATTATTAGGCAGACATGCAGAGCGATCTCAATCCACCTGGGTCCAAAATATATCAAGCTGCCTTTTACTGAGCCCGAGACCGCGGATCTGGTTGAGGGCTTCGATCATGCTCATCACATGCCACAATGTTTAGGAGCAGTGGACGGAACCCACATCGAAATCAAGCAGCCATCTACCAACCCCACTGACTACATCAACAGGAAAGGCAGACATTCCCTTAATGTACAGGCCGTCTGTGATTACAAGTACCGATTCATGGATGTTGTGGTAAAGTGGCCTGGGAGTGTGCATGATGCACGGGTCTTTGCTAATTCAAAGCTAAACATGTACTTGAAAACTGGAAAGATCCCTGCTCTGAGAAAACAGATTGTGGACGAGGAGGAGGCCATACCAATTTATCTTCTTGGTGATCCTGCCTACCCGCTGCTGCCGTACCTGATGAAGGAATATGCAACCGGTGGCTCCACAGTTCAGGAACAGTACTTTGGGCTATCTTTGTGTAGGGCACGTATGGTCATTGAGTGTGCTTTTGGTCGCCTCAAGAACAGATTTGCTGCACTTAGAAGGCCTATGGACATAAACTTGGTTGACCTGCCCCATGTCATTTACTCCTGCTTTGTCCTCCACAATGTTTGTGAGGCCAGTAAGGAGGCTGTGGATGATCAATCTGTGTTGGGAACAATTCAAGGTGAAAGGGATTTACAGCCTCCCACACAGAGCAATAGGTATCTCACTGACTGTAATGAGGGGGAGGGAAAGAGAGTGAGGAGAGTGCTTACGGCTTACATTGACCTTTAGGACTACATAAAAGACAGACTGTATTTTTTTTTTTGGAAGGTTACTGTGTTAACATCTGATAAACATTATTTGTTACATTCACTGTGCAGCTCCTTCAGTGACCATTTTTCTTTTTTTTACTTAGTACTTCTTAATGTATGTAACATTAAGCAACAAAATATGTGATTCTCCAATGTTCAAAGTGTGAAATTAAAAATAAAATTGCCTGCAACCACTTCCAGTGCAACATGTGACATTTCCGATATTTGACACTAGGGGGGGTTATTTATCAGAAATATAGTATATAGATGTCTTAATTATCATATGTATATTTATACTTTCCCATAAGGAACCAACGTGGCACGGTGTCACATGAACTTTAATGTTCTGTAAAGTTACACTGATGTTCCATCCTGACTTTCACAGGAAACCCGGAGTGACATATATGCACGATTAGAAATATGATTATGATCTGCTCAGTTAATTTAGCTGATTCAATTACATTTAGTTAATATATCCTTTATTCTTCAGTTCAAACAATGTTCTAACCTATTTAAACCAAAAAAGCATCCTCATTATTGAAGTTATGAGTTATATGACACTAGGGGGGGTTATTTATCAGAAATATGGTCTATATATGTCTTAATTATGTTCTCAATGTTCCCAAAAGTAGAAGCGGGTCTGGGTTCTTATGGGTTAAACAACTGGCTTACTACGCCACAAACTGAAGCTCACTGCTTTATCAGTCAACTTGGCCAGTAATAGATATCTCACTGACTGTAATGAGGGAAAGACAGTGAAGAGTGCTTGCGGAGTACATTGACATGAGAGACAAGACTGTTATTTTGCAATGTTTTTTATTCAGAAGAGTTGCAAGAGCTATAATGATATAGCATTTATAATATATACATTTATGGAATAAAAAGTGAAATGCTTTCAGTCCACATGTTCACAGTGCAACAAGGAATATATATATATATATATATATATATATATATATATATATATATATATATATATATATAAAGTGCAACAAAAACTGAAGCTCTGTGCTTCAACAGTCCTCTTCAGTGACTGGCTGTATGAATACTGGGATGGTTGCCGTGGGGGGTCAGGGGTCATCGTGTGCCGGTGTGGTGCAGAGGGGTGTGGTGCAGAGGGGCTTGGTGTGTAGGGGCTTGGTGTGTAGGCAGGCTGTGGCCTTCTATACAGGTACGGTGACTGTTCCGGTAATTGTCCACCGCTGCTGCTGTGGGGTTGCGCATGCATGAATTCCCTCATCAGGGACAAGTCCTCCCGAATATTTTCATTCATCAGAACAAAGCTTTCTGCGTTGCGGGTGGATGTTTTCTGATTTTGCTCCATCAGCTCCACCATCCTCCTTTTTAGTTTCAGGTCTTCCTGCACGGCATGGTCAACTGGAAGTTTTCTTTTCAAGCGGTCACTTCTGTGGCCGTTCAGCTGCACCTTGAATAAACCAGAGCATTTTTTTATTATTACACAATAGGACCATAGCCACCAGATCACATAAGACCAAAGGCATGTTGTGCAATAGCTTCTACTTTTACAAATACAACAGCTCTCAATACATTCTACTTTTACAAAGCTTAAACGTGTTCAGTTTTTCTGTGGAAGGTACTGTATCGTAGTATGTAGCAAGTCCGTTAAGCTTGAAATCATGAACATACCTGGAGCAGATTCCTGCGATGCTGTACAACTGCAGCAGCTGGCAGACTTCCGCTGGATTCGCTCGACTCTGGCGGTGGCGAATCGTTGGAACGCTCCAAACTCCGGGGTGAGCTTGGTCCGGAAGACGACTCTTCCAGGTCCCCCGTCTCGATGCCCGAGCTAAGGGAGCACGTTGCAGGCGAGCCACCCCAGACCTCTTCACACAGCTCAAAAAACATGTGCACAACACGTCCTTGGCCACTCCGACGCTTCGTGTCCACCGCATGCCTGTACTTTATGCGGATTTGTTTAAGCTTGGCGGCAAGCTGGGCCTTTGTAATGGCCCCCACGCTGTGAGGGAAATCCTTCCCTGTGTCGGTCCTCGGATACTGTGCCTGAAATAAGTTGTCTATATCGCTATACTTCAACTTGCAGGACTCCCAGTCAACATTCTCCTGTATTAATGAAGTTTTGTACTCTAATGTGACCCTAAGTAGAAGTTCTACCTCATCATCAGTCCACGAAAAGACCTCCTTTCTTGCACAAATATCAGCCATCTTCTACCTTGTGTGTTTGTTTGTGCCTTACACATCCGGGGGGGATCTTATACTCGCTGCTTTTGGTGGAGGAAGTTACAGCGCCACGTACAGGTTCGGCATATGTACTGCAGCTTTTCCAGCGGTTGGATGTAAACGGAGCCGTCTCGTGGAGCTTGACACAATCCGGTGTATAATGCGTGTGGGCGGAAGGTTTTTTGCGGTTGCGTTTGCGTTACTCCGATGCGTTTTGCCGTATGCGTTCCCGTGGAGCCGGGGCCTAAATAGTCCTTGTCTCCCTTTGTCTTGTGCCAGTGTGCTTCACATGTCCAGAGACCCAGCGTGTTACCAGAGAGGAGAGTTTTTGTTTGAAATCAAGAGTTTTGTTTTGTCCTCGCAAGAGTGATCTTTTGTTTAAACTTTGTTTTATTTTTCTCATTAAAAAGTGAGTCGTTGCATTTGAGTCCAGTATTTTTGTACCTCATTCTAACAAGTTGAATCCAAATATTTTTTTTTAAAATCTCGGTAACACTTAGTTGTTAATTAACATGCATATTAGCAGTATATTGGCTCTTTATTAGTAATTATAAAACACTTATTAATGCCTTATTCTACATGACCGTATTCTACAAGTAATAAGCCATTAGTTGAGAGTTTTTCCTCAATAACCCTCTAATTAGTGCTTATTTATTGCAAGTAAGGAAGTTGTTGTACATGAGTTTTGGTCTTAATATGCTCTGCTCAATATGGGCCTAATAAGGCAGCAGTACCACAAGAATAGTAATTCTCCCATAATAACACTTAACAAATATGATCTATTCTTATGTAACAAGACATGAAACTATAAGTGTTAATTGTGTCTAAATAACTCAAAATTAGGTATTTATATCTAAGAACATGTTCCCTATTTTAAAGTGAAGTCTTGTTCATAACCAATAAGCTAGTAGTTTGACTCTAATTGACCTGAACAGGTTCCCGATTTTAAAGTTGCCTCCTCTTCACACTTTGTAAATACATCACACAACTACTGAAATTAACCTCAACAGCACATGAACAAAGTAGGCACACGTTGAAATATCTGTTTTATTAATGAACCACTAAAGAGAGGTTCAGACACATACCAAAACATGTCAAGTTTCTCCAAGGCTGAGAACACATATGCAGCCTGTACTTTTTAATAAAAACTGATTTTTAACAGAATGTATGTATTTGTGATCAAACTGTGTGATCTGCTATGTACTTACACAATAGGTGAAAGGTGGTTATTGTGTTTTTGAGAAGACTAACAGTGCGTGTAATCATGCCATACATTTGAAAAATGTCAATAAATGTTCAGTACACATTTTTGAAAAATATAAATGTGCAAATATGAAACATACAGGTCAATATCACCTTGCTATTGGTAGCTGAACTGTCAAGGCTCAGAACAAATACACCAATTAGCATAAAACTGTACAAAGACCTTAATCGTTCTCTATCAGTCTTTCTAGCAGAAAGAGCTGTCTACTACAGGGTCACAAAGATAGATAATAGTGTCAAAGCTTTTGACTGACAGTGTAAATATCAACTTGCTATCTGCAACATCTGCTACCTTTCACAGGCTTCACACTTTATATTTTTTCCTAATGTCATGCAAAAGCATTCCAAGTGGTCCATTTCTCTGATGGTTTCCACGCCAGTAAGTCCACTCAATTACATCCAAATGATCTTTCAACATACTTTGTGTCCGATTTCCTCTAAGTCCGCAGATAGTTGCCTTGCAAATACCCCAAAACATATTCTTAGATAGAAATACTTACTTTTATTTAGTTTTTTTATTGAGTTATTTAGACACAATTAACACTTATAGTTTCATGTCTTGTTACATAAGAATAGATCATATTTGTTAAGTGTTATTATGGGAGAATTACTATTCTTGTGGTACTACTGCCTTATTAGGCCCATATTGAGCAGCGCATATTAAGACCAAAACTCATGCACAACAACTTCCTTGCTTGCAATAAATAAGCACTAATTAGAGGGTTATTGAGGAAAAACTCTCAACTAATGGCCTATTACTTGTAGAATATGGTCATGTAGAATAAGGCATTAATATGTGTTTTATAATGACTAATAAAGAGCCAATATACTGCTAATAAGCATGTTAATGGACAACTAGTTGATGGTGAATCTGTGTACCTTAATATAAAGTGTTAGTCTTATTTAGCATTTTCCTTAAAGGTCACCTCATACTATTTTTAGGCAATAGCATAGGTCTCAGATATATACAAATATATTAAAAAAACATGTCTATGAAGTGTTTTGCTCAAAATACCAAACAGATCACCCATTCTAGCCATACCTCATATCCCTCTATTTCCCTTCCTGTTACAAAAGTGCTGATTCTGGGTATGAAGCATCAAGGATTATTGTACGGAACCCGTTTTTAGAGATTTGGGTACGGAGGAAAAGAGAGAGGGTTTTATTTTCTGACACTTTGTGAGTTGCCTGATGCACCGGGGACACATATTCATGTATAAAAGACATAAAAAAGTGCATTTTGCATGATAGGTCCCCTTTAATGTAAAGAATCTGTAATTTCTGAAAAATTGAGATATTATAAGTACACAACTCAACAGCATACACAGTATAACACAGGTCGGATTGTTTTAACTACTTTTAATAACAATAATAACATACAGTGGTAAGAACAACAAGTGTGTTTGTGTTGTTGTAAAAGACTACAAGTGTTATTTAAGTATACATCTAAAAATATAAAAACAGGCCAGGTTCAACAAAATGAAATAAGGATTTAGTTCTTATTCTGTTATGAATACTGAATCATTTAGGCTAGGACACAGTGTTAAAGTGATATATAATATGGCTTATTGGTAGCAGATATGAACTGAATGAACAAAAGAGTTATTATTAACAATTAGAATAATTCTGTTTGATATGTTATAGGTTCCATAAAACCCGCCTGGTCCCAGAGCCCTTTTACATTAAATAATCAATTGTAACTGCATTAAGTCCAATAATATAACAGAATTAAGATTTCCAGAATCTGCACTCATTAGGATGTCATTTGTAAGCAAAGCTGATTCTTCTGTGGGTGTTTCTGAGGCCACACTGAAAATTCAGGGTTCAATGTCAGTAAGATTTTAAGGGAAACTTGTTAAGGACTTTTTTCAATTTGGGATATACTTGTTTTTGAGTTGTTATATGAATACAAACTAAAAATCAAGGCTCGGCCTATTTCACGAAGTCTACCTGAGCTTTGGCTCTGACGACTGAGAATTTCAGTCGACAACAAAGACGGTACATGAGGACAGGTCTGATGGTCTGATCTCTTATGCCATATATGAGAGAACTAAGGCACCTGGGGAAGAGAAAAATGCACACATATAAAACATTTGTGGTACGCACAAATACTATTCGAGTCAGAATTTTTGAAAGATTTATGAGCAAGGGGTTATAAATGGTTGAAGAGAGACTGAGGCCCAGCTGCACCAGATGCAGCAGCAGAGTTTTACGAGCTTTACGAATTGAAGCTTTGTCTGTGGAGGCCGACCTGGCTGCTATCATCACACCAATATAGGAGCAGCTGACTGCCACACCAGCACACACAAACAGAAGACAAGTATGGACTTTGTCATAATCATCAGACTTTGGTCCACGAAATAGGATTTTGTCTGAGCAAAGGTCTTTCATCTGCAGGCTTTCCAGCTCTTCAAATGGAAACTCTAACAGTAGAATAACTCGTGCCAGGATATGAAGTGAACTCACGGCCCAAACAACAATGACAGCCACTGCTGTGTTTCTGGTGGTAATGATGGTAGAGTGCCTCAGTGGGTAGCACACAGCTACATATCTCTCCAGAGACATCACCACCAGTGTCAGAGGAGAAATTTCATTTGTTAGATTGGCAACTATGAGGAGAAGGCCACACACAGTATATGTCAGTGTCATTCTGCCAGTAGAGAGCAGGTACAGTAATTGGCTCATTGCCATCTGTAGAGTGTCTGCAAAAAGGAGGTTAAACAGAAGAACATAACGGGAGGTTTCACGAAACACCGTTTTACTCCTCAAGGTCAATAACATAACTCCATTAATGAAGAGAAACACAAAGCATGGCACTGTAGTCAGAGTGGACATCAGAATTCTTTCCAGTAACCCCTGATACTGATCAGCAGTGATATTGGTCAAATATTGATTTTCCAACGACATTTACAAAAAGCAATTAAGAAATGAACCTATTAAAAAAAAAAGTATTATTCCAGTCTGTACTCCCACAACAAAGAGGATATCGATTCAGCAGAGATGCCTGTTGAGTTCACATGATGAATCTAAAATCATGCAAATGCATTTTCCCTCCTCCGACAGTGAGCAGGTTAGAGCCCATGCTTGTATCGATGTGAGCTCTACGTGAGCTGAGCTGGTCTGAAGGCTCACACACCCTGACACTGTATATGAGCTTTGTCCTTACAAACACTTCACGTCCAGTGGCGACTGGTCATTAGGGGCAGGTGGGGCACAGCCCCACCTAGTGTCAGCAGAAAGTATTACAAATAATGATTACAAAAATGCAAAAAAATAAATAAAAAAATATATAAAATATATTTTAAGATCATGTTTAATCATCTGATTCGTCTGTACATTGCTGTTTTAGTCTGTGTTCTTCTAATTAGTGTGTCTACAGTCACAGTGTGTGCCTATTGAGCTGTTTAGAGCCATGTGGGACAAAACCTGATTATGCCCCTTCCTCTCGCTGTGAAGTCAACGGTGACTGTAAAAACTTCACTGCGCATGCTCAGAGTATTTTGTAATGTAATGTGTGTGGCAAAAAAATAATGACCAGAGGGGCACGGA